AGGGTAAGCTGGGACGAAGTGAGAGAGTGGCATGGACATATACACACTACCAAATGTAAAATAGATAGCTAGTGGGAAGCAGCCGCATAGCACAGGGAGATCAGCTCCGTGCTTTGTGACCACCTAGAGGGGTGGGATAGGGAGGGTGGGAGGGAGACGTAAGAGGGAGGGGATATGGGGATATATGTATACGTATAACTGATTCACTTTGTTATACAGCGGAAACTAATACAACATTGTAAAGCAATTATACTCCAATAAAGATGTTAAAAAAATTCAGTTGTAAGCATAATTAATGTTTTAGACAGATAATAATATAGATGTATCCCTACCAAAAAAAATAATAATCCTTCCGTTACTACCTAGAAAAATTGGTGACACTGACCATCCTTCATATCTCAAAACCTCCTACAAAGCTGTCATTTATCATTCTAGGAGATCTTTAAAGGCAAATGTTTGCTTGATTTCACAGGGATCCAGGTTCCAGGGAGGGGAAAAAGGAGCGGAGCACACAGTGTGATTTGCCTCCCTAGGGGTTGCCCTATGGGATTTTCTCTTTAATAAGCCAAAATTATATTTATTAATTTACAGTGTATGTGAGTGGGGGGAGGGTTGATCTTTCCTTATGTAAAATGAAATGTCAAGGCCACCATTTGTGCACCCTGGTCCCAGTAATGAGGTACCTGGGAGGCCAAAATTTTACCAGATGGTTCCTTTGTGAGCATAGAATGCAGGGATATTTTGCCAAGGAAAACTGAGAACATTTTCAGAGTTTGGTCCTTGAGTTCGGGGTAGGGAAGAAGGAGAGAAAAGCCTTGTATTTTTGAGGGATGGTCATTAACAACTTTTTTAAAAGCCTACCTTATTGTTTTTTATGTATGTGTTTAATTATGATAACTCACATAGTGATTTATTAAGTTTATATAAAATATCATAAAACATTTTGAAATGGAAAGCTCATTTCAAACATTACCATGTTCTAGTTTTTACAGATGGTTTAATTTCAAAGTAATGATGCCAAGATGAAAGAAGAGATAAGGAAACATCCTCCATTTTCATGTTTTATTTCTTAGTCTTGTTCTACATCACAAAAAAAGAGGTCTACTGAGGGAGGCTGTCAATCCAGCACACAAGAACCTGCTTACACTGTTCAGATATGGAAGATTCAAGAGCAAAATACTCTCAACAAACTATCTAAATTAAAGCTTCCTAATTGGCAGACCTTCCTAAGTCCCATACACTAGAATACTTAATAGAATGTAGCCCCATAATTTCACTCATGTAGTCGCTCCCATCTGCCAAGCAGAGCAAATTGTTAATTTGTGCTTAATCCAAATATGCATAAATTATTTTTAATTACATAAAGCCAGGTGCTAAATTTAGGTGCCAGAGAAGTCATCACACTTATCAGACAGGAAGAACAAGGAATAATGCAAGGTAACTGCAAAAATACAGTTACAGAAGGGTGAATTACTTCTTTAAATGAGAAGTAATAAAGTACAGATCACTTTATCTGAAAAATAATCTTATGTATAACAAAAATTTCCACAAGATATTCCACCCTGCTATGAACCAGTACAATTAAGTAAGATAGTTAGGCAAATGGTAAGTAATCTACCAGATATCCACTAGAAGTGTTTCAAAAATTTAGAAAAGGATTTAAGAACTCTAACTTCCAAATTAGTCTCTTGCTAAAACCATCCTAGGGTTCTCTGTTGCTCCAATTCCATTATTAGAATTAAAGAGAAAAAAAAAGAGTCAACTAACTTCACCAAATCCACAGCTAAAGTCATTACATTGCTGGTGCTTATTGCCAATTATCACATGGCCAAGAAATGAAATCTTAAAGAAAGTACAACTATTAACATTTCTAGATGGTCATTATCTTTTCTTCATTAAAAAATATATAAACGAATATCTTAAAGGGGGAGCACGTAACATTGGATTTTAGCAAACAAAATGGACAAAGGCAAGCTTATGCTGGCACACAGTCAAACTCCTGTGAGAGCTAATCCAAATGTGGATTTGTGGTAAAGCACATCAAAGCTTTTGGCTTCACGATTTTAAGTAAGAATACAGTAATCAAGCAGCCATGAAAATCAGCACACTTTTGCTCTGGACCAAAAAGAACCAAATGAACCTTAAAAACACCTCTTTGCTCCATTCTGATCCATTTTGTTTAATTTACATGAAATATAGTGGTAGCTCTCATGTGGTAATTTCAAGCATCTTGACAATACAACTGGTAAAGCAAGCATGCAGAGATACGAACTGACCACAAAAATGGGGCTGTGGCTGTTCTCAACATACATGTGTGGCAGAAATCTTGGTTTAGGGCTTCCCTGGTGGCGCAGTGGTTAAGAGTCCGCCTGCCAATGAGGGAGACACGGGTTCGAGCCAATGAGGGAGACAAGGGTTCGAGCCCTGGTCTGGGAAGGTCTCACATGCCGCAGAGCAACAAAGCCCGTGTGCCACAACTACTGAGGCTGTGCTCTGGAGCCTGCGAGCGACGATTACTGAGCCCGCCTGCTACAACTACCGAAGCCCACGCACCTAGAGCTGGTGCTCTGCAACAAGAGAAGCCACTGCAATGAGAAGTCCGCGCACCACAAGGAAGAGTAGCCCCCGCTCGCCGCAACTAGAGAAAGCCCACGTGCAGCAACGAAGACCCAACGCAGCCAAAAATAAATAAATAAATTTATTTTAAAAAAAAGAAATCTTGGTTTATTTCTTCATATAAACACTCTCTTATTCTAAAGAGATGGGGCTAGAGTAAATGGGAGTGGGTAGGATAGAGATAAGAAACTGGTGCAACTGATCCATGCTCCAAGAAAGCATGTCAAGGGAATCCCCTCAAGGTCCAGTGGTTACAACTCCCGAGCTCTCACTGCCGAGGGCCCAGGTTCAATCCCTGGTCAGGGAACTAAGATCCCACAAGCTGTGTGGAAGAAAAAAAAAAAAAAAAACTACGTCAAATGAAAAACCAAACACAGAAAACAAGGAGTGATTATACAAAGAAAATTTGCAACAAGTAAAAAAACATTTACTACTACATAACAGTGATTTGATTCTCAAAAAACTGATTTACTTATTAATTTTCAGGAACACAGTAGTTGTAACAAAGTGAAATACACTTCTTTGGTAGATGAGGCCAGGAGTACCAGAAAAATTCTGGTAAAGTAAGATTATGGGGAACCAAAATATTGTGCTGTAACACTGGGCTGGAAAATCTGTTTTAAATATATTCCGATCTGTTCTCAATGGACTCAAGTGGGTGAATTGTCACTGGGTAATTATGACCATTGATTCTCAAGTTTTAATCTGGTAAACATATACATCTAATAAATGGAAAGACTCCTCTGCAAAATAACACTGGTAATTTTTGAGAATGAGAAAACGACAAAATGTGAAGTTTAATCAGGCAATTTTTGTTGCCGTATTTTCAAGACAGCCTTTTCAGACGCTGGATAGGATAAATAGGTCATGCAAAATTTTTTTTTAAATGTCCCATAGAACCTCAAAATTCTCTCCACACTGCTGGGGTCTTGGGGAAAAAAAGGAAATAACAGCACATGTTCATCTCCATCTTAACAAAACACATTGATTTGGCTCCTGTTAACTTTCATTTTATCCTCTCAGCTCTGAGGTAGACACCATTTACCAGAAGAGAAAAAGCAATGTCACCTCCTCCATGAATCTTTACCCAACCCTTCAGTTATTTGGTTCTAATTACAATTTGCCTGGTTTAGTAGTTAACGGGTTATAATTATAATTTGCCTGGTTTGCTAGTTACTTCCCCCAAACCCGACCCTTTGCCAGATTAAGAGCACTTCGAAGGCAGGGAACTGAATGTTAATTATCTTTGTACCCTAGCATTCCATGTGGCACATAGTAGGCGCTTCAGATTGAATAAATGAAAGAATTTGTCGAATATAATTCAACAGGAGATTAGGATGGGACTAACATGAAGGTTTTGGGACTCTTCCCTCTTCCCGTTCCATCTCGCTGCTGAATTAAGCCTGGTTCATCACTTCAAGGCCACAATGCCAAACTAGAAGTTGTCACGATAAAGAGCTCTGGTCTCCCAATGACCAAAAGTTTGCATGCCCCTGCCCAAGACGACAGGTCTCAGACCAAAACTCCTTGGAGGCTTTAAATACTAGACCCAGGCAGAGTTCTTGATTTGTAAATCAAAGAAGTGAAGGCAGGATAGATTAGGCGGGAAGAGAAACTTCCGTTTGTTTAACTGGTTTGCTTACAACTTTGGTTTTGAAAGAAAGGGCATTTCTCTCTTTCCTCCAGAGAGAAATGAATTACGAAGGTTACTTTGAGAGGGGATCCCAGGACTGAAAACTTGGAGACAAAGTGAAAGATGATAAATCGGGAGGGTTCAGCAATTCTGAGACCTACCCCTCACCCTCCCCCGCACTCGGACCCTCCCCTGACTCCCTAACCTCTCATTTGATGCCGATTCCTCGAGACAGGATTGGAGCTCCTCCCTTTTTCCTCATCACCCCTCCTCCCACACAATTACACCTCCCACCCCCAGCGTGGCGGTTACCGATGGGGGGCAGGGGAGGGGCTGGGAGGCTTGTGAAAAAGTTAAGTGCACAACTGCGAACTGGCCCGGGTCACCAGACTAAATGCGACCTGCCCAAGTCTAACGCTCGTTACCAGCCCCCTCCCCCATGGAAAGCGACAGGGCAGGTACTCTGCCTCAGAAAGAACACTTCCTTTACCTCAGATTCTTCCTTGGCTTCAGAAGGAACCCCTCCTCCCTTTCCCCGTCCCACCCAAAGACCGACTGCTGGTCCAGGGAGGCGTTTTCAGGACTCGGTGAGGGCGAAGGAAAGGTGGTGGCGGGAGAAGAACCCCAGTACCCCCCCGCCCAGGGTTTAGGATCGGGCGGCGGGCGGCGACGACTGTGTGCCTCAACACCTTTTAAGTACCAGCGAACACGGCCCAGAGGCGAGGGGGTGAGGGGGATGGCCAAAGCTTACCTGTGAGCCCCGCGCCGCCTTCCTCCCGGTAGCCCCGACGCCGCTGCAGCACGAAGTAGTCGTTGGACCTTTCCATCAGCCACAGCTTCAGCGCATTTTTCAGGAGCACTTCCTCGGGCTTCAGCCACATCGCGAAGAACTTTATGCCACCCGGAAGCAGCGACCCAGATGCCCTCCTCACCTCACCCCTCCACCCGTTTCCTCCCCTCTACTTCTCCCACCAAATCTGCCTCAGGCGGCAGCCGCTCAGGTTCTGCTTTTCCACACTTCCCCCAACCCTCCCTTCTCTCCCACGTAGGCAGCGAGACGGCCAATTCCCTCCCACAGCGCTACCGCCCGACTGGGAAATAGTCCCGTTCCTTTCCCTTCTGGGAGTTGTAGTTTACTCCCCGCTTTTCTGTACTCAAGCACCTGGAGCTCCGGACTACACTTCCCACAATCCACTGGGGAGAGAACTGGGTGGGGGTGCTTTCAAAGCGGGTCCCGCCACCAGTTAAGTGGATTTGCCTATCGAAAGTTTAAAGAGTTTTCTAGCAAATAAGTGAGCCCGGGTATAGAAGTGTTGTTTCTTCTCATCCTTTTACAGCCGAGGGTGTTAAACGGTCGAAAACAGTTTCCGGAATTTGGGAGTAACGAACGGCCATTCTGGGAAGGAGCAGTAGCTGCAACTAACGTTTAATGAGCTCTTACGTACAAAAGAGATTTCACACAATGTCTCACATAATCCTGGCAGAAGTCTCACGAAGCATATCTCATTCCCCACCTGGCACATAAATAAACAAATGCGCAGTCGGGTTCGGTGACTTATCCAAGGCCACACAGTAAGTGGAGTTTGATACGATTCCTTGTCTGATTGAGAACCTTCCTTAGATTAAGCTCTTTCCGCGTGTACAATAAGAATATAAAATCTTCAGAAGTGGGCTTCCCAGGTGGCGCAGTGGTTGGGAGTCCGCCTGCTGATGCGGGGGACACGGGTTCGTGCCCCGGTCCGGGAAGATCCCACATGCCGCGGAGCGGCTGGGCCCGTGAGCCATGGCTTCTGGGCCTGCGCGTCCGGAGCCTGTGCTCCTCAACGGGAGAGGCCACAACAGTGAGAGGCCTGCATACAGCAAAAAAAAAACTGTCTGCTACACACCCTTAAAAACAAGGGTACAGAGAGGTTGAGAGTAAAAAGAAAGAAAAAATATTTCATGCTAACACTAACCAAAAGAAAGATGATTCACTAACGAGAGTAAAACAAAGTATCTTTGAAAAAAAAAAAAAAAAAAAAAAAAAAAATCTCCAGAAGCCACACAGTGTTTTTTACGCAGCGCTCCTCCCTTCCCAGATTTGTTCTATTTAACTGTTGTAATCAGCCAAAGAAAATGTCATCCAACTTTGCTTTACTGGATATAAACAATTTATGAGCGATTTTTTTTTCTTTCTTAAACTCTTTAAGAAAAAAAAAAACCCTTTCAGGGCAAGCTACCCCTCTTTGTACCTTGACAACGATACGCAGCTGCTTAAACACTAAGGTGAATGAGGTCAGTGGTTTGCGAGACATCATTGTGAGAAATTACTTGAGGGACTTTTTTATTTACTGCGATAACTAAGCCCACCAGAATTAAAGAGTGCACTAAAAGCGAAAACACGTTTATAGGAAGGAAGGAGTTGGGAGGCAGTCTACAAAAAACAAGGGGCTCTTGGCAAGCTATTTTGAGAATGAAGCCTCAAGGATCTGGCTTTTTTTTAAAAAATGGGGTGGGGAACACCCGGATGCCAAGTCGTGGAGCCAAAGAATTCTGCCTTGGAGTTGCGTCTGTGGCTTAACCCTCGCAAAATGTGGGCCAGCCCAAAGAAGGCAGGCGTGCGCTACGAGCAGGGATTTTTCTGGGAGGTGAGAAAAAGGTCAATTTGGGATTCTCTAAAACGCAGTCGTTTGTCCGAAGGCAGCTTTCCGGACAGGGTGGGACGAGGCAGTCTTCCCAGAGCCCAAACTGCAATGTATCCTTGGGAAAAGCCATCCTAATTTGGATGTGTATTAAGGAAGATAATTTCTTATCTTCCTGGTGAAAGATCAGTCAATGTGGCAAATGTATCTTCCCTCTTTATTTTTACTGATACCTTTCCTTCCCCTTTTTATTTCCTTCCTCATCAAACCACATTCTTTTCCAATATCCTTAAACTTTAAGAGTTGTAGCAAGGGATGTGCAGAACTGGATGGTTCCTATGCCTCGTTACTGAGCAACTCCATTCAGATACACCCACATGCTCCCTGTTATAGAATCGGACCCTCTTTTGGCTTAGAGCGGAGGGTGGGCATTTAGCGAGCTCCCGCTGTAGTAAAACATTTCACTGATTATGTAAATAAAACACTTAAATTACTCCTGCAATATAAAGTTTGGCTTGGTCATGCACTATATTTCAAGCTTTTACAAATAAAAGTATTTTTGTGAAAGTGCCTTAAAAAAGCAGAGCATGTCACTCTACTCGATTGTTTATGTTAATGTACATTGTTTTTAGGGACGAAGGACAGGAATTACAAACTGCCATGGATATCACTGCTGGTACTGTGCTGGTAATATCTATCTATATCTATCTATGCCTGTGTATACGGATAGTCATTTAACCCTCATTAATAAGCTTGTACATTTTTTACAACCTTAATTTGCAGATGAACAGGAGGCTCAGAGAAGTTATGTAACTTGCCTAAGATCACATAACTAAATAAACGGCAGAGCTGGGATTTGAACCTGGATTTGTCTGACTACAAATCATGACATATCCTTTATAGCTACCTCAAGGCTACATGTCCAAAGCCAAATTTATTTTTCTAATATCCTCCCTGCCGAAAGTTGTTTCTTCTACCAGCTTCTCATAGTTCAGAGCACCACTGTTTACCAACATGCTCAAGCTAAGAACCCTGGAATAGTCTTTTATTTCCTACATTTAAAAAAATGACGTATAGTTAATTTACAATATTGTGTTAGTTTCAGGTGTACAGCAGATTCAGTTATACATATATAGATAATTTTCCATTATAGGTTATTACAGGATATTGAACATTGTTCCCCGTGTTATACAGTAAATACTTGTTGCTTATCTATTTAATGTATAGTAGTGTGTATCTGTTATTCCCACACACCTAATTTATCTGCCCCCCTTTCCCCTTTAGGAAGTTTGTTTTCTATGTCTGTGAATGTTTTTGTTTTGTAAATAGATTCATTTGTATTTTTTAGATTCCACATACAAGTAATATATAATATTTGTCTCTGTCTGACTTCACTTAGTATGATATTCTCTAGGTCCATCCATGTTGCTACAAATGGCATTATTTCATTCTTTTTTTTTCTTTTGATTTTTTTTTTACATCTTTATTGGAGTATAATTGCATTACAATGGTCTGTTAGTTTCTGCTTTATAACAAAGTGAATCAGTTATACATATACATATGTTCCCATATCTCTTCCCTCTTGCGTCTCCCTCCCTCCCACCCTCCCTATCCCACCCCTCCAGGTGGTCACAAAGCACCGAGCTGATCTCCCTGTGCTATGCGGCTGCTTCCCACTAGCTATCTACCTTACGTTTGGTAGTGTATATATGTCCATGCCTCTCTCTCGCTTTATCACAGCTTACCCTTCCCCCTCCCCATATCCTCAAGTCCATTCTCTAGTAGGTCTGTGTTTTTATTCCTGTCCTACCCCTAGGTTCTTCATGACATTTTTTTCCCTTAAATTCCATATATATGTGTTAGCATATGGTATTTGTTTTTCTCTTTCTGGCTTACTTCAGTCTGTATGACAGACTCTAGGTCCATCCACCTCATTACAAATAGCTCAATTTCGTTTCTTTTTATGGCTGAGTAATATTCCATTGTATATATGTGCCACATCTTCTTTATCCATTCATCCGATGATGGACACTTAGGTTGTTTCCAGCTCCGGGCTATTGTAAATAGAGCTGCAATGAACATTTTGGTACATGACTCTTTTTGAATTATGGGTTTCTCAGGGTATATGCCCAGAAGTGGGATTGCTGGGTCATATGGTAGTTCTACTTTTAGTTTTTTAAGGAACCTCCATACTGTTCTCCATAGTGGCTGTACCAATTCACATTCCCACCAGCAGTGCAAGAGGGTTCCCTTTTCTCCACACCCTCTCCAGCATTTATTGTTTCTAGATTTTTTCATGATGGCCATTCTGACTGGTGTGAGATGATATCTCATTGTAGTTTTGATTTGCATTTCTCTAATGGTTAATGATGTTGAGCATTCTTTCATGTATTTGTTGGCAGTCTGTATATCTTCTTTGGAGAAATGTCTATTGAGATCTTCTGCCCATTTTTGGATTGTGTTGGCTGGGTAATATTCCATTGTATATATACTACATCTTCTTTATACATTCATCTGTTGATGGACACTTAGGTTGCTTCGGCATCTTGGCTATTGCAGATAGTGCTGCTATGAACATTGGGGTGCATATAAGGAACCTTGGAATAGGCTTTTTTTAAATTAACTTTTATTGGAGTATGGTTGCTTTACAATGCTGTGTTATGGAATAGTCTTAAACTTCTTACTCTCACCACCTCCACTGTCACACACACACTCACACACACACACACACACACACACACACACACACACACACCCCTCTACGTTTTTTTTCAAAAGTCCATCCCATCCTCCTATTATCACTTCAGATAAGCCTCACATCACTTTCCTGCGGCACTATAATAATAGCTTCCCAATTCATCTGTCTACTCCCATGCTTGTTTTCTGATTTATCCAAGCCACGTATTTATCACAATGATATACCACGCAGAGATGAATAATACGTCATTTATCCAGAGGTCAGTCTTCCAGCTGACTCAGCCTTCTAAATCATAGTCTCAAACACCTATGTGAAAAGGTACTAGGAAACCCCAAATCGCAACTCCAAACCTGTGCCACGGAAAGGCCGAGGCTGTCACTCAAGATTCCACTGGATTCTTATTTGCAATGAATTTCACAAGCTTAGTTGATATTTTACAGTCTGCAGCAGGCTTAGGAGCAGTAAGATTCTAGAGGAGAGCCATATAAAGCTGTAGTACTCAAAATACAGACTCTGGACCGGCAACATCTGCATCACCCAGGAGCTTGCTAGAAATTCAGAATCTCAGAACGTATTCCAGACCTTAGAATCAGAGTGTGCCATTTTAACAAGATCCCCAGGTAATTTGTAGGCACATTAAAGTTTTAGATGGACTAATTGAAAGCAAATTAGATATTTGAAAATCAGACTTCACAACAAATTGGGGGTAATCATGTTTCCATTAAGAGCTAATAGGCATCTTTTAAAAAATAAGCTCTATTAATGAATTTTGGATGACTGAATTGCTTTTTTTAAAAGTTTCTATCAGGACATGCCTATTAAAATTTTCTAAAGCAGTGGTTCAGAACTGGGATGTTAGTTGGAAGAGAAATTGCCACTAACTATCCATGCTAAACTCAATTTATATATACTACTACTCTAACCATCAAAAATGGTATGTCCACAAGTGTCTTATATTCATGAGATTGTATGTTTCTGGAGGAAAAAAAGTTAAGAACTAGTGAGTAGTGGTTTTCAAACTTTTCACTTAATTGCCTCTAAGGTAGAAGATAATGAACATTTTTCTCTGGTGGTCTAAGTGTCCCCCATAATAATGAACTTCTTTTAAGTTCATTACATTAAGTAGTATGTAAATTTTATATTGTTTAATATGTTTAAAGATATTTTAAAAATCCATTCCAAACAGAAGATACAATGAGTAAGGAAAATTTTTATAACCTAAGGTGATAAAGTTGATCCAGATATTATAGAACATAACTAAAATATTTAGTAAATGAACCAAAACCAGAGGGAGGGAGGAAAAGAATTGTTCCTAGCATTCCAGTTGTATTTTTAAGTGTATTTTTACTGATTTACCTGGGAACCATGTGTATTCTTACTTATAGGATAATACAACCTGGCGTCTACTAAACCTACAAATGAACTCTCAGAAAACCCCTCCTTCTTAAGTTGGAGACTACCTATACATACAAATACATCTACTACCACTGTTAAAGGAATCAGCTTATATTTTGACCATGTGAAAGTAATAAAGTCTATTGCTCCAAATCTTTTTTCTTATCAAAAGATAATACCAGGAAGAAAACTCACAAGTGACATGTAATTCCTCTCCTTTGCATATACCCAAGAGAACTGAAAGCATACATCTACACAAAGACTTGTACATGAATGTTCATAGCAGCATTATCCATAATGGCCAAAAAGTGGTAACGATCTGAGTGTTCGTTAACTGATGAATGGATAACCAAATGTGGAATACCCGTACAATGGAATATTATTCAGCAATGAAAAAGAATGAAGTACTTTTGCATGCTTCAACGTGGATGAACCTTGAAAATATTATGCTGAGTGGAAGAAGCCAGTCACAAAAGGCCATATCTTGTATGATTGCATTTAAATGTAATGTCCAGAATAGGCAAATCCATAGAGACAGAAAGCTGATTGGTGGTTGCCTGGGGCTAGGAATGGGAGCAGAAACTGAGTGTAAATGGATATGAGGGGACCTTCTGGGGTGATGAAATGTTCTCAGTTTGATTGTGGTGATAATAATTGCACAACTCCATATACATTTGCAAGGCATCTTGGAACCATACATTTACAATGGGTGAATTTTTGGTATATAAATTTTATGTCAATACAGCTATTAAAAATTTAAAAAGTTATAAATGCCTCCCCAGAAGAAACCCCACAAAGCTTGAAATGATTAATTTTCTAAGAATACAGGCCAACTTTATTGTGTGGCATCACACACACATACATTTGGCATATTGCCACAGAAGACTGGTTTGATAATCATGGTTCTGAAGTGTTACAAGCAACTGTTTATTCTTAACATGTTTGGCAAAATAAAGAGATGCATTTAACTCATTAACAGCATCCCAAGAATGATACTGCCAAAGAGAAGGCTGAAGGAAAAGGTAACTTTAAAGCAATGAAACGGCCTTATGTCTTGGGTCGTATAAAGATGGACTGACATCATGGTCTTTTTCTAACCTTATATTATCAGTGGTCAACCTCATTATTTACCTTGCTGACATTTAAAAATAATTCATGGTAGGTTCAGTTATATTATAATGGCAGCAGTTCCTCTCTATGTAATGAAATATGTAAATGTAAAGTTTTAGTTTTTATTGATCAAATATATCAATGACCATTTACATTAAACCTTTTTCCCTCCTAAATACAAGCATATATTAAAAGTTAGTATATGATAACTAAACACCAAACACAAACTTTTATTGGAATATTTTATTTACATTTTATATTTAAAGAGAATCAATACAAATCGGGACATATTTACAGCATTTCAAATCAGCGTACAAGAATGCAATGGTTTCATCCATTCTACATTTAGCCAACAAAAATACATGTCTATTCTGCTTTTGCCTAAATTCTGCTGGAATGTGTACTGGAAACAAAACTCTAAAACCAAAGATAAACCACAGAGAATAGAATTAAAGTGCATTTTTATAATAGCTCTATTTAACTTTGGTGGATGAAGCTTCAAACTTTATATTAAGGCACCTGGAATTCTCCCCCTCCCCCAATTCTTTTTCAAACACCAAGAAAATGCATTCACAAAATTTATAGCTACATGGACAGAATTTTAGTTTACCTAACGTTATTTTAGCCCATTTAGGTAAAATGTAAACTCAATTTTCAAAGTCAACATTGTTTGGAAAATATTTTCTACAGAGTAATTTCTGTAGACAAATTCATACACAAAGATCAATTACCAATTTTTTTTGTTTTTGTTTTTGTTTTTGCGGTACGCGGGCCTCTCGCTGTTGTGGCCTCTCCCGTTGCGGAGCGCAGGCTCTGCACGCGCAGGCTCAGCGGCCATGGCTCACGGGCCCAGCCGCTCCGCGGCATGTGGGATCCTCCCGGACCGGGGCACGAACCCGCGTCCCCTGCATCGGCAGGCGGACTCTCAACCAGTGCGCCACCAGGGAAGCCCCAATTACCAATTTTTGTGTGACTTATTCATAATCATTTTCAAATAGTATGATGATTTATATACTCTGCTTTTGAAAGTCCCATAAGTAAAGTTTGAGAAATAGTTACAGTGTTTCTGTAAGTACAGTTTTTGTCTATAATCTTTTGTCAAATTGGTGTCACTAATATACCAATCAATCCAGTCCAGTCCATATTCTGTGATAAACTATGCTTGACACTCATATGAAGTACATTTAGCTGAATTTTAAAAACAAAAAATAGTTGAAATGAATATTTTGCTTTAATCTTGTTCTATCAACTTAATGTAGCTTAAACAGACATTTCATGAATTTCTAGCCTAAGTTTGCATTGTTTTTTACATTACAATTCCAGATCAATATAAGCACCTGGAGAAAAACCCTGACACATATAGCCCAAGCTAAAGTAGTATTATTTTTAATTAAGATACTATCATAAAATAAAGTGATTACAGCTACTCCACATTTTAAAAGCAACATGTTTTTATAAGAAAATTGTTATAAATGGAAAACATGACTACTTGACAAGAGTTCTGAATGTTTAAAAATGTTGCTACCACTATTGAGAGAAAACTTGCCTATGAAAAATATTATATAATGAGTTTGTGGAAAAAGTTAATAGGTTGAATATTTTAAGTCATTTAACTATAGCATAATATTAGTCATCTCATCACTTTCAGTATCATTCTTATTAAGTTATTCTAGTTCATTAATAGCAAACTAGGCCCTGATTGGCAGTTCTGTTATTACTAAAGGTTCAAGTTTTCTATTGACACAGATTTTATGATTTAATTTCTCGAACAGCAGTCTCTCGATCAGGAGTTTCATCTTTTTCAAAGGTTGGGTTGTCAACATGAGGAACAACATCCACTGCCATGGAACTTGCTTCATGGTTTACCAGCTGTAGATTTTCATCTTTAAAAAGAAATGGTAATTTTAGGATAATTTCACCCCTCTCTTCTTTAAGACAAAATTCAACACACGTCTAAGAAGCCTTACTTATCTAATTCCATCATACTCTGATTCTTACACTCATTCCCTGTTCCTTTAATATGATTTGTGCTGCCTTACATAAAGCACATATGGCATTATTTTAATTTACAATTACAATTTTATTGATTCACACATGTGCTTATTTGTACCTAGATTATAGCATCCTTAAGAGCAAAAGTTATATCTTCCACTTCTCTATTCTAAATGTAATAGCTCTTAAATCACATTTCAATCACCTGGGCACTTTAAAAAATTACCTATGCTATGCATAGATATATAGATAGATAGATAAATAGATAGATAGATAGATAGATAGATGGATAGATAGATAAATAGATAGAGAGAGAGAGAGAGAGAGAGACAGACAGACAGATAGACAGACAGGCAGAATGACTAAAAAAAACAACGGGGGGGGTGGGGGGGGGGGGGCGGGAGTTCCCAAAATGGAATGCAAATAGTAACAAGTGAATATAATTATATTACAGATGAAATATATAATCATCCTGAAGAGAGTGGGAAAGAAAAGAACTAACCTAAGTAACTTTGGAAAATGATACTTTGACTATATCCTATAAGGCTAAAACCAAAGAACTACACTGGTTAGTGAAACTGTTTTCCACAGGGGTGTCTTAGCAATGTTGAAACTTAGGTGTACTTTAGGATTGAACAAATAAGTAAATATATTGTGGATAATAACAGCCAGGTTTCTCAATGTCAGAGAGAGGAGTTACAAATAAGGAAAGGGGAAGGCTAGAATAAACTCTATGGTGTTGGACTGGAATCAGAAATATCAGTATGAACTAGTGGTTCTTCAGATAGATAGGTGAAAGTAGATGTGTGTGTATATTTGTGTGAGTACATACACATATTTCCTAGCGTTGTTCCTTCAAAGGGCTAATAGCAATGACACCCCAATTAGCAATGAGCATACCTAGTGCCCAGATCTTGATTTCGAGGTACTGTTCTCCAATAAAAGCCCCACCCCCTGTAGAAATAACTGATTCCAGGGCTAGGACAAGGAAAGTACAAGATTAATCTAGATTCTAGCCTAGGGATCAGCAAACTACAGCTTGCAAGCCAACTCCATAGCTAAGAGTGTTTTTTTCATTCTTAAGAGGTTGGAAGAGAAAACAACCAAAAGCAACAAAGACCCATGGCCTTCAAAGCCTAAAAAAAAAAATGATGGGGCATGTTGAAAGAAAACAAACCAACTTGAGGGAGTTCCCAATGACCAAATCTAGGACAATCTAACCATGAATAAATCATGAGAATAATATTATGGAATAAAAGAAATACCTATGAGTCTATAATATTATAAATAAATAATTGAATAAATAAGTAGAGAAAGGATAGCTCTTCCTTAAAATAGAAGCTTAATTAATGTAGAAAGAAGGATGGAAAGAGAAAATCACCATTTGGCACACATTTCAGTAATAATTATTGTAAGCAAGAAACATCAGTGATTGATAAAATTAGTAGGTAAAAAGTATGATGAGAAACAGGATATTTGCATAGTCTCCAAGTGTCTCTCTATAAAATAATTAATAATTATAAAGGGAAAAAAGAATAACTTTAAAAGGAGAAGCTTGGCAGATGCCACCTTAACCAAGCAAACAAAATTAAAACCATTGGTAATAAGACATGGGCATCATGTGCCTCATTATATGATATGAGCCAGAGAAGGGCACAATATAATTTCTGTGGTATTCTTGCCAGAAATAGACAATGGACAATAAATTTAATCATTGGGAATCAGGAGACAATTCCAAATTGAGGGACATTCTACAAAATAACTAACTGGTGGCCTTCAGCAGTGTCAAAGTCATGAAAGAAAAAGACTAAGGAACAGTCAGATTGGAGACGAAGAAGACGTAACAGTTAAATGCAAATTGGACATAGAAGGAACATTCCCAAACATAATAAAGGACATACATGGGGACTTCCCTGGCAGTCCAGTGGTTAAGACTCCATGCTTCCACTGTAGGGGGTGTGGGTTTGATCCCTGGTCGGGGAACTAAGATCCCACATGCCGCATGGTACAGCCAAAAAATTTTTTAAATAATAAATAAATAAATAAAGGACATACTTGACAAACCCACAGTTAACAACATACTCAACAGGAACAAGACAAGGGTACCCACTCTCACCACTCCTATTCAACATAGTACTGGAAGGCCTAGCCAGAGAAATTAGAAAGGAAAAGAAGTAAAAGGCATCAAGGGACTTCCCTGGCGGCCCAGTGGTTAAGACTCCGTGCTTCCAATGCAGGGGACGTGGGTTCAATCCCTGGTCGGGGAAACTAAGACCCCACATGCTGTGCAGCACGGCCAAAAAATAAAAAAAAATTAAACAAACAAACAAACAGAAAAAAGGCATCAAAATGAGAAAGGAAGAAGTAAAATTGTCTGTTTCCATATGACATGACCTAGAGAAAACGCTGAAGATACCAACAAAAACTGTTAGAACTAATAAATGAATTCACTAAAGTTGCAGGTTACAAAATCAACAGACAAAAATCAGTTGCATTTCTATACACCAGCAATGAAATATCTGAAAGAGAAATAAAGAAAACAATCCCATTCATAATAGCATCAAAAAGCAGTATAATACTTATGAATAGATTTAACCAAGGAGGTAAAAGATTTGTACCGAAAACTATAAGACATTTATAAAAGATATTGAAGAGGTTACAAATAAATGGAAATATATCCCACGTTCACGGATCAGAAGAATTCATATTGGACTTCCCTGATGGCACAGTGGTTAAGAGTCCGCCTGCCGGGCTTCCCGGGACGGGTTCGTGCCCCGGTCCGGGAAGATCCCACATGCTGCAGAGCGGCTAGGCCCGTGAGCCATG